TCCATATTTACTTATTTATTATTTATTTTCTTTAGGAGATAAGATGATAATAAAAACTTAATTCAATATTACTTACTTTCTTCAGGAGATCCTAACCAATCCCTGCCGCATATCATCGCCTCTATGATCTGAGGGTCTAATCCACTGAATATTGGATTGTCCATCATAACTTTTTCATGGAAAGTAGAACCTGATATAATAGATGACATAGGTATTGCTAAGATATCACGAACCATCCTCGCAAGAATAGGAAAGCTTGAAGCTTGTTCACACCACCAACCAAGTATGTCAAGATCTAGATTGGAAGAAATAGTTATAGGTTGACGAAGATACATATCAAGTTCTGATATTGATGAAGCTTCAGTATTCCTTTTGGAATTGTACCACCTATGGAAAGATTCCTTTGTATTTTCTTCAGTGTTCAACAATGTCGATGAATTATTATCATTGGAGAACAATGCCTCATTAGACATAATTCTTGCATATTCATCGAAAATATCAGTGAGAGTATCACGAATCATTCTCAAGTGAATCTTGGCATCACCATAGCCATAGATTGCCTTGTAGGAGAACTCCAAAACATCAAATCTAAACTGCGGATCAAGAACAGCTGCAATTGCCAAAACCAAGCTACATGTCCTACAATTGTTATCAAATTTCACATTCATCAATGGGTATCCTCTTCCATCCTGTTGACTTAGTTTCTTGTAGATACCAAAAATGTCCCACAAACATGCATTTGAAGTTTTAATGGCACCATCAATAGAATTTTCAACATTCTTCTCACCTGAGTTATCCCTACCAAGGAGACCAAAAATACATTCATCACTACTGATGAAAAATGTGCTTGAAGGATGTGAAGCTACAAAACACTGCCAGCTCTTTCTTATTTCTTCAGCTATCTCGAAACATGAAGAGGAATTATGTATGGTTAAGGAACAAACTTTCTTGTCAAAATTCCATTCCAGAAGTAACTTTTTGAAATTTTCAAAGAAAGTCATTTTCTCAAATTGATTCCTTAAACTTTTTAAAGCAAGAATTTTCTTCTTCAATTCCCAATTGTCATCAATAAATTGTACAATATAACAACAATACACAATCTTTTCAGGATCATGTGCCCACAAACTAATTGTTAAATTAAAGCGACATGAGAGCTTATCAAAATATTGAAAGAGCTTATGTTTTTTCTCTTTGTAGACATGAATTATGTCAAATGATAGAGCTTCTTGTGATTGAAGTTTGAACATTGGTTGCAAATTTTTCAAAGTATTGGTAAAAAATTCATCCTCAACTATTTTCAATGGGAACTGATTCTTAATAATCATTCTTGCAACATCCATCCTACTCCTATCTTGATCAAATGAAGAATTACCTTCACTAACACTTTCATTTTTTAAATCACCTCTCCCAACTTTGGCTGCCCTTTTTTTACATCTTTGCAAGTGATTTCTTAAGTGAGTAGTTCCTTTCTTGCTTGAACCATCAAACTTTGTACCACAATCTACACATGTAGCAAGTTCTTTCCCATCCCCATCTTGCTTCCAGCTAAATTCTTTCCAAACATCAGATGTCAACTTTCTTCTTTTAGCATTTGAGATTAGTAAATTATTTACATTTGCTTTTACTATCTCATTCTCATTATTTGCAATTGGCTCAAAAGAAGTTTGTTTCCCATTTCCCTAATATAATAAGCAACCAAGAGCACAAATCCATAGTTAGAAAAAAAAATTATTTACAGTCACTGTCATTTTTAAACAGTTAGTTTTTCATGTTTTAGAACATTTAGAATGATTTGTAGGTAAAAAAGTGAATAACTAAAGTGTAAAAAGGTTAATTAATATAACATTTTTATGGAGAAATTAAGAGCAATTAATATAATTGTAACCTTGAATATAGTGATAAAGGAACAATAGATTACCGGTTCATGAGGCCCTGGTGTTTGCAATACTACTCCACCTGTTCCAGCTGTTGTTGAAGCATGCATAGGTAATGGTGGGTGGAAATTTGGAATCACTCCCCGCTAAAAGCAAATATTATTATCATTAGACCCTAGGCCTAGAATAATATAAGTATCAGATCATGTAAATACAATTAAGATTGGTACCTGCTCATTAAGCCCTTTTGTTACCATTACATGACCATCCCTCGTGTTTGAATATATAAAATCAGTGGTAGACGAAGCTGGTGGAGGATTTATCATAGGCACTGTCACCTGCGGAATGTTCGAAATAGCTCCTTCCTGAGACCCAATTTCAGTGTCCTGAACCCTTACTTTTACAAACCTTGTCTTCATATTTTTCAAGCTATTGAAGATACGAAGTGCCAAGGATTCTGCTTTTTCAGGCCTAGTTTTACATGGACGCCACAAGAATGCTACTACATAAACATCATCAGTGGTATAACGGTTTTGTAAACAGATTGCAGCAGCAGCACAATCGGCAATACAAAACCATTTAACACTCTTTGGATGGTAAAGTTTCATAAACTCAGAAATACTTGGCTTAACAAGGAAGTGCTCACTTGATTGAAGTGCTTTCCTAGCAAACCCTTGTAAAAGTTGAAGTACTTCATTTCTTCCAATCAACGATGGATCCTCATGATCATCAAAATAACAAAAAGTACTTTGGAAGATTAGAGTACGTTTCTCGTATGGATCTAACCAAATTTCATTCATATTATCCTCATAAGTCCATGTTAAAGCCAATTCAATCTTATTTTCAGAACATAACTCTTGTAACATGTCATGTATCTCAGCCAAAGCAGCCAATTGATTTAATTTGAAACCCTGTGTTAATATAGAAATAATGAATTACAACAAAAAATAAAAAAGCCAAAATAACACATTTAAAAAAAAAAAAAAGCAATTCATCCTTAAATTAACAATTTTTGTAGGGATGACAACAGATAAAGTATCTACTAATTTTAAAATACACGGAAGCCATTTAGTAATATCCTATTAAAATCTGATTCTATTTATTTAGTTAAAAATCTACTGGTACTTATTACAAGAACCTAACACAATTTGAATTCAATAATAAAATAAAATAAAATTATTTTATATGTTTTATTAATAAAATTAAATTAATAAATTTAAAAATATATTTTATATTTAGATAATTTAAAAATTTTACTAAATGATTTATAAATATTAAAGAATTCATTATTTATAATTATATTCGAATAACAAATGCCCTAAGCTTATTATATGTGTCCTACTCAAAACTTTTATAAAATACTCTAATCCTATTTAATTAAATCAAATAATGTCGAATATCCTTTTATGCTGTACCCATTGCCATCTTTAACATTTTGACCATTTTGTATGCAACTTGTAAGAGAATATATATATATATATATATATATATATATATTGACAATGTATAATAGTGCAAATTCAAATTGGAGCTTTTGGTTAAAGTCTTCCCTTTTTCATTTTAATACCATGGAACTCAATGTCGGTAACTACAGGACTTGAAGTTTAGTATTTTTACCTAAATTTTCAGTCCTAACAATATTTACTTTAATAGTCAGGCGGCCCCTATTATGCTTTTGTAAAATTCTATGTTTTCTTTGGCACTTAAAAAACTATTATTTCAAAAAAAAACTATAAGAAAACTTTTGGCATGCTTTGAAGCAACCAATAAATAAACATATATATTAAAAATTTTGACATCATAATTTTAATTTAATTAAAAATAATCAAAAGTTAATAGTAAAAATTATTATTTGAGGATCGTTATTTTGTTTTCTTCCAAAATATTATTTTTAACCGTTAAATTTTGATTTTTTTTTCCCAAATGAAAAGCATAATGTTATAATTGCACTGATCCAAAGATAAATGAAAATTTTGATTCTTTTAGCGAAGATAAAACAGTATATATTTAGACCTTAGCTCATTAAAAAATATACAAACTATTGATAACTTTTTAAACTTAAAACCAAAGTAAAAATAAAAAAAATATATTAATATGCAATTTTATACTCTTGAACTATATTACTTTTACAATTTGATATTTATATAAAAAAATTCACAATTTAATATATTAATTTTATTTTCATTAAACACTTTATAATATTGACTAACGATATTACTAAAAAATATGATGTGGCAGATATAAGTGGCCACTGAAAATGCATTATGTGTTATGATCTTATTTGTTGTTTTATTGCTATATTAGCATATTATTAATAGAGTTAGTATTTAAGGAAAAAAAATGGTATGAGAATGTAAATTGATATACTTAATCGTAAATTTTTTATAGATATTAAATCTTGAAAAATAATATAATTTAAGGATCAAATTGCATATTAGTCCAAGAAAAAATTTTAGTTTTGTATTGTTTAGGAGACTTGAAAAGATAACTAAAAGAAAGAAAAGATAATACCTCTGGAAAAGGTTGTAAAGGTTGTACTTTATCTTCTAATCGAGGACTTGGATTGCAACCTATAACACAATTGATAAAAATATAATTAACGAATATAATCATAAATCTAAATATCAATAAATTAAGAAAGACATGATGATATATGTAGATTCTTTATCATAAAATTAAGGGTCAACGATCCAGTTTACCATTTTTTTAGTTTATTGCTCAAATTTTATCTATTAATCATCTTTGAATTAATTGATAAATTTTTAACACAACACTTTTAATTTAAAACCCAAATTAGTCAAAATATATGCCAATAGAATATTTCTTTGACATATTAGAAAACAAATTAAATATTTTTTAGTTTTTAAAAATTATAAAAAATTGAAAAATAAAAAAAAAACAAAACTAAAAAGAAAAATGAAAAAGCAAAAGAGAAAAAGAATAAGGAAAGAATGGGAATGGAAGGGAAAATTGCCTAGTCTCATCGTCAAGTGTTAATCTTGAGTCGATCAACCAAATTTTGGATATATGAAAGGCAATGAAAAAAGAAAAACACAAACGGATTGTAAAAGGAGAGAAAGTAATGGAAGAGAGAACTTATCGATCTAGTTAGATCTTGTGATTTAAAATACAACATGGTGGTACAATACGAATACAATATAAAAAATAACATGAGGTGACTCAATTTAAAATTTTATCAATAACTATATATGAGTTTAATAAAAATAAAATATATATATTTTATTTTATTATATCGACATGAATTATAACACATAATTTTTATGTAAAACATGGTATAAATACATAAATTTTAATATTTTACATAACATGAATATACAAATTATCAAGTCTAGATCTAGTATAAAGAGATCTAAATGAGAAGAGAAACGCGGTTTGGTTATCGACACTGATTTACCTTCATTATGCATAGAAAGTGATGTACATATATTAAGCCTAAAGGGCGTTTAGTTCGCAGATTTTTAAATATTGGGAAGTTAAATGATTCTGGCGAAAAATGATAGTTAAAAGGAATATGTGATACCTGTGTTTTGTTGATTTTAGGAAATGTAAGATTTTTATATAATTTGTAGAATATAAGATTACCTAATAAATTCTTTTATTATATTGTCCTTAATGACATATGTATAACACATGACATTTATATAGTCATTTATTTAATATTTTATAATATATTTATTTAACACATGAATAATTGATAGAAATAATAATGAAAAAAAAGAGTATTAATCTCAAACATGAATATGACATAATTAAAGAAGCTATAATCACAAACAATGTCACATAGTCAATTTATAGCATACTTTAATGATATCATTGTTAAGTATATTTCATCAATAAATTGCTAATATCATCGTATTCAAATGAAGTGTATAATCAATGTCAATGTTTTTTGTGTTCATTCTCACACCAATTCATCTAGTTGTAATTTCTCACATAATTCTCGTTAGGTTGTTTTTTCAACCTTTCCTTTCATTTTACTTGTACATGATCCTTAATCAAACACCTAGTCATAGTAAAATGAAAAAAAATCAAATAATAAGTCTTCAAAACATATCCATCTTTTGAATAAACTTTAATTAAATATATCTAAATACAATTGTGCAATCAATTAATCATCTTAATATAATCATTACGCTAAAGTCACATAGCAAGTTTTCATCATATTTAAAACATTATAAGAATATATAAAATGTCCAAGTAAATCTCAATACCTCTAATTATTAGCAAACATATTTAGAAGTTTTATTCAAGGAAGAATAAACATCGTCATTGACTTTGGTATTTTTGATCAAGAGATATATCACTTTAGCTTTTTTGTCAACCATTTTGTATTGAGTTCATATTTTTTTGAAACTCAATAGTTGCCACTGATAACTCCTTAAAAATAAAAGAATACCTTTTGATAACGTTTCAGCATTGTACAAATGGTCAGACCAAAAATTAAACTGTTACTCTAAGACAATGAATTGCCATGATTAGGCAACTTGTTGCTTTTTTGTATTTTATTTCCAAAACTTAGTTTTCACAACAAATATTCTAAGTAATCAATTTTCATAGTTGATTACTTCTTTTAAAAATATCTCATGAGTAATATTTTGGTCATGAAACTCTTTCTTTCATTTCCCTTGATCATATACCAACGTATAAACTAACACTCAAATCAATCAATGACTACTATGTAAAAAAAAAATCAATCAAAGACAATCAACTATATTCTCTTTGAAAACTTTTAGCCCATGATCTTAAACGAAAATGTTAAAGCCATTAATCATGCAATTAAATATATCACCATATAAATTAATTATAATAAGTAAATTACTAACCTTAATGTACAGGAACATTAAACTCTTTAGGACACTTACCGCTTGCTTTTTTGTTTTTGACTATACTTACTCTTGTTGAATTCAAGATTTGTAGAACAAATTCGAATAAAATGACTTTATGTCATAGTCGAAATAAAACATGGGAGAAAAACCAATTTTAATCTTCCACAATAAGTTAGAGAGTTATTGAAAAAATAACTTTATGATTTTTGGTTCAACACCAAGAACATTCTTAATAGCCTTCCATAAAATATTCTCCATTTCATGATCATGAACTTGAACATAGTGTTGCCATTGAAGGAGATTTATTATCCTTAAATTGTTGTATATTGGGTATAGTTATAGCAACATAATCAATAAAGTATGCAAAAAATACAGAATTAGAAAAGAAAAAATTGATATTTGGGCAAGACACTTCCGAGAAATTTTCTTAAAGATAATAGTCTCCCTACTGCAATGCAAATGGATTCTTGGAGACGTTATATGTGGAGACCCGCACCCAACTTGCGAGTTATTGTCCGCTTTAACCTGAAGGTCTCATGGTTTTGTCCCACAAAAGACACCTCACAAGTTGAGATTAAGTCTCTACATATATATCATTCCTTATTCACACATCATTCTGATGTGGGATTGGGGGTGTTACAATCTCCCCACCTTTAATGCTTGACGTTCCTGTCAAGCCGAGTCCATCCACAGGACCAATATCACACCAGACTATCGTGTAGGACTTAGTGACTCTTACGACTGTGAACTAGTGACCGCTCTGATACCATTTATGGAAACCTGCACCCAACTTGAGAGGTATTATCCACTTTGACTCGAAAGTCTCACGATTTTGTCCCACAAAAGGTATTTCACAAGTTGAGATTAAGTCTCTACATATATAGCATTCCTTATCCACACATCATCCTGATGTGGGATTGAGAGCGTTACAATATACCCAAGAAAAAATGCCTAAAGTTAAAAAAGAAAATGATTGCACTTCATGTTTTTCTTGAACTCATATGAAACATGAACCCAAAAAAAAAAAAAAAAAGAGCATAGGAAGATAAAACTGTTTTTGATTTTTAAGAATGAAAAGATGTAAGGTTGTTAAAATTGCGTTTAGAGAAATATTTATGACCTCATAAGGTGTTTCAAACCACCTTCCACGTAAAAGCATCATTCAAATGAATTGATGCAACTTTTGGAATGAAAGAATTCCAACATGCTTATATTTTAGTCTTAAAGTGTAGATATTCGAATGCCAAACATAGGATATTTGCTTTCCAAAATGTGGGTATTCAAATGCCCAACCAGGGTATTCAAATGCCTACTCTTTAACTTTCAAATTGTCATTTTAAAATATAGCATTCAATTTCCCTTTACTTATTTCATTCCAAACGTTATTTTATACTTTTAAAATACAATTTTATCAACAAATGCATTCTACATGATTTAGAAAACAATCATTTTTACCTAAAAACATTGTTCTTTGGTAATATATAAAACAAAAACAAAAAAAAAAAGAAAAAAAGTCAACTTCATACCAACCATATTAGTGATCTTTTTATATTTTTAAAATAAATATTTCATGAACTTTTTTTTTGTTAATGTTTGATTGATATAAATTATGTAAATTACACTCGTTCATAAATTCATGGTAAATTTTGATGACAGATTAAATAGTGATAAATTTGATCTTTAATCATTAATTTAAATTTCATTATATTGAAGCTTTGGGGGTTTTTAAGTATATATTTTCTAGTTGATTTATTCAAGAAAATTTCACTAATCAAGGAATAATTTTAATTATATTTTTTTCCTCTTATTATTTTTGCCCATCTTTTCTTTTTTGTAAATATTTTAAAAATTATATTGAAAATGTTTTAACACTTAATAGTCTTTTTAAATATTTTAAATTTATTTTTCATGAATTTTTATCTTTTCACATTAAAAACTTGGAACAGTTATTTATAAAAAATAAAATTTCGTATAAAATACATTAAAATTAAAGTTTTGGTTTTTTTAATTTATTTTAAATCAAGGAGATACAATATAAGATAGAGGGAGCATTATATTATCATATTATTAAATTAATGGAGAAGAATCAATAAATGAACTTCATAATTGTTATAACATTGGAGAAAATTTAAGTTATTAATTAAAAAAAGGTACGACGCTATGTCGCGGTGAATTGTTTTTCAACAAAAATTTTCATTGTTTTTAGTATTTATATGATTATTATTATTATTATGTAAAAATAATTAAAAACTAATTCATAAAATGTTATTTTATAAAAATATTTAGATTATATTTCATATATTGCAATTATGTTTTGTTGTTAGATTTTTGCGCTAGGTTATGAGCATTATATTTTTTTATTAATTATTTAATCAAATTTATTATTTTTTAATTTATTGAAATTTATAAAGTTTCTTTTTTTTTTCCTTTAGTGAGAACGTCTAAAACAAAAGAAAAAAATAATAAAATTATAACAATTATAAATTTTAATGAAATGATTTTGATTTTGTTTTAATTTTAATTTTCTATTTTTATGTAGTTTTATATTTCTATCTATTATTATTATTTTTTAAAAACTTAAATTTTATTTTATTACAAATAATAAATAAAAATTATGTTTTAATTCTTTCTTTTGCTTCACTTTTCTTTTTCCTTTCTTTTCTTGCATTTTTTCTTTTTTTTCTCTTCTTCTCTCTACCCAAAGCATAAAGAATATGATATATAATAAATAGATTCCTTTTAAAAAAATAGCAATAAACTACCACAACTAAAAGTTTTCTGTTTAAATTGTGTATATTTCATCATCTTTTATACTCATACCCTCTCAAAATAATTGTCCCTTATTGACTTTTTTTTATCAAACTAACTTAACTTTGACCTTCATTTTTTTAAAGTATTATATTAAATTAATACTATGTTTTGAAATTTTTGAAATTCAAAGTTTACAAATCTTATTTTTAAAAGCTTTTTGATTTTATAATTTTATTAAACATAATGATCAAATTTGATTTAATTTTAAAAAAAAAGTTAATAAAGAATAATAATTTCAAAACAAAGGGAATAATAAATTTTAACAATTCATTAACATATAGAAAGCCCAACATATTATTATACAAAACATATTCATCTACCAAACTCGAGCCCATACAAAATGTAACCCAAATTTTTTCAACCCAATTAAAGTCTACAATTGCATCATACAATAGTTACTCGCTAAATGTCAACAAATAGAAGGTAAATTGAAATTGAAAATTGTAAATTGAAAGTGAAAAATGTAAATAATATAAGGGATTATTGATATTAACTATAGACAATTAGAGTTATTATTATTTTTTGAACAGATTTAGAGTTATTATTATTGATTATTGATATGAATTATTAATAATTATAACTTAAAAAAGAAAAACATATAGACAATTATATTACGGGCTACAAAATCATGGCTAGAGAGGAGTGTTAATTTTACTAATTGTATTTTTTTAAACATGTCGAGAATAATTCAAAATAGAAAAATACCTTGAACAAAATTATTGCCGATTGGATTGAAGTGATGCTCCCCATCTTTGAGTTTCCATGCCGATATGAAATATATAGGGCAATTGTCCTGGATCCTAACCAAACACCCATTGTCCTCACGATAGCAACGACTAAGCCCGCTAATCTGGTCCAGCTTGAGTGGAAATGGAAAAAAGCCATTTGTTTCCAAGTGGGATCGCCACTGATCCAAAGTATGGTGTCGCACAATTCTATCCCTACCTTCACATCCCACTATATTATTTATATGTCGCCTTAAACAATTCTCTTCTTTATTGTCTTCTTTATTGTCTCGACCAAAAACATGGGAGTAATGTTGAAAAGAGTCCTCAAAGCGTCTAATGAAATCGGAGTGATTATGATTAGCAGCATACTCTTTTATTATCACAAGGTCCGGGTTTATATTCCTCAACTTTAACAACTCTCTCTCCAATATTCCAGCCTGTCTCAGCAACATAGAGAGTTTAAAGAAATAGAAGACGACCACAGCCTCATCCTCTGTTCTTCTGAAATCCAACATAGACTCACCCACTTCTTCCAAACTATTAGCGTAAACCACTTCCAACTTCTCCAACTTAAATTTATATCGCGTGACCGCCTCAGTTATATAATCCTTTTCTTCTTGGACATTTATAATTTTTTTCAGAGACGGTGGTAATATGACACTTACACGGACTGATATGAGATCGTCCAAAGCATCAGCATAAGCATCGGTTACTAAATCAAACAAGTCTTCAGTGTAATAGAGATTTGATATGCGGAAATCAATGAGGTGCACTCGCTTCTTTCCCATCACGGTGTTGTTGATGGCATCTCCGATACTCTCATTAGCAATACCATCCCAATACTGTAAATGCAATGGAGGAGTCATCTGCAATTTGAAATAGGCAAAGTCAGGATGGAGTCCGTACGCTCGGCGAACTAGAGCTTCTGCAAAGTATTTCACAACCATGCTTTGTTGTTTGTCGGGTTCGTCAGCTGCAAGAGTCCAGATCTGCTCAAGCAGTGAATCGGCAAGTTTCAGATCCCCATCTTCAACAGCTCGAGCGCAGTCTAGTAAGACCGGAAAAGCAGAAGAGGCCATCACTGTAGGCAAATACTAGTAGAAATTTGGGGTTGAAGGATGTAGTCACCGATGAACTTGAGAATACAAGTAGGTGACTAAATTATTCCAGCGAAAGCAATAGCGCGTGATTCATTGTTTGTGGTGGTCCCCAGTCCGCACACCGCACTCGGTGTTGACTGACCAATAATTAAAGCCAAAGAATCCAATTCCCACCGACTGTTTTTAATGTGAATTTGGATTGGTCAACCAAAACAAAAGTAAAAATTATGCACAGTTCAAAAAGTGTTTTCTTGAGTTAAATATAAAAAAATGTTTTTAATAAAAATTAAATAAAAGATGGAGATTGGGCAGGGCTGGGATTGGAATTCTGAACACAAGCCTGCCCATAACACGATAATAAAATATTTATTTAATTAAAAAATTAAGATTTTAGGTAAAGGGTTGGGTCTAAGATTTAGATAAATTATTTACTCGCCATAGAAAATTGTAGAAAATAGATAACAGGATCTAATAAGCAAATTACAATTGGACTTGCTTCATTTTGACATTTCCAACGTGTTCCGACTGCAGACTGAAGCTTCCATGCTCACTACTTCTTCACCAGCAGACTCAGAAGCGGAGCTTTGTAACTCCAACCAATTGTCTAGAGATGGATCACCATCTGGTATTTCAACAGGTCAGTTTCAAGTTAGATAAATAATAACAACAACAATAATAATAATAATAACAATAAGTATCATAAACTACCATTTAGGTCGGAATCTTTGGCATAGTCTCCAGTACTATTAGTTTCTTCAGAATTCCAATTTTTCGAAATTTTAACCAGAGAAATACTCTCTTTCTCGTCCATCTTCCTTTTACTTTTAGCCTATGAAATTAAAATGCATAAAGGTAACTCAGTCTTCCGAAATTCCTGGTTATAGTATAGGTAAAACATTTAATCCAGATCACCATTATCATGTGCGCCTACCTTATTTGGCAATGGTGCATGTTTTGCTCTGTCATCTGAGACAGCAAATGATCTTACGTAAGTGATAAGAGTATGTAACTCGAAACAAATTAAATCATCTAGCTAAGGACATTCAAAGCTTACTCTTTGAGCAAAGTACCATACATCAATCAACCAAATTGTCAACTGCGATAATAACAAAGTTAAGCCATGTGGTTTACATGCATCCTACTTACTCTAGGTTTATTATTATTATTATCTTAATTAGGGATATCAATAAGGTATGAAATGGATAAGACATTGTCATCCCATTTTTATCTATAATTTTTTATATTATCTTCATCTTTGTTCCCGAACTAATATTTTAAATTTATCACACCACTATTATTGTAAAGATTTAATGGGTATAGATAATCTTAATAACTTATTAAAAAATAAAAAATTATTTTAATTTTTTATCTTGCACATTTATTCTAATTTTTTATAAATAAAAATATATTAGATCTAATTAATTTAAAATAAAAAATTTATAAGATTAAATAAAAAATCTATTTTTTCGGTGCAAAGGAGTGGTCAAACCACTTAAATTCTAGAGGTTCTAGGTCCTGCTACTCCTAGGATATCTTTCCCTTAAGGAGGGTTAGCCAAAACATAATGAGTACAATCCTCACTAAAGCCCAGCTAGCCATTTAATCAATACAAAAGTTCATCTCTAAAGATATGAATAATCTTACAAAAATAAAGAATCTATTTATTATATATATGTATATAAATATATAAGGTACAAGCATAGATACAAAGTGGTTGCTACATTACTCGTCCTATACTCAATAAAAATTTTAAAATTATATTCATTCCATTACTCATCCCAAAATTTAGTGTCCATTCTCATCTCCACAGAATAAAAAATCAGATTTCTTATAAAATATGAGTAAAATTGACATACTTAAATTTGATAAATAATTCAAAGTGTTTTAAACAAGTAACATTCAAATCAATGAGATTTATTAACTCATTTTGTGAATTTTGTTGACAGTTAAATTAAATTTTTTTTTGGGATTAATCAAACTTAATTTGTATTTGTAATGTTTTTTCTACATCAACAGGATAAAAAGATTAAGATATGTCTCATTAAATTGTATTTTAAAAAATTAACCATGCAAATTAAAATTATGTCACATTAAAAGGCCAATCCTTAAGCAAGAGTTAATAACCTTGGCTCCCTCCCAAACATACACTTCCATGGTATAGATCAAGAAACGTCCGGCGTCGAAAGTGAGGCATGTCATCTTGAGTGAAAGGAAAATAATTGCCATGTGTGAGGCAGTCTGCATATTTCATCACAAAGAGTGCACAATCCACAGAGCTGCAAAGATTCGAAGTGTATGCAAGTAACTATGGGTGATGAATCTTTTTATGAACCATAAAATGAAAACCAAAAGCTTCATTTTCATTATTCCTCTTAAATTAGAATAGAATATTTGCTTACTTCTTTTGCATAGGAATATTTTCTGGGACATCAAATGACCAATCCTTATGATCATGTCCTGATAACGGCAATAGAAACTCTAAAAACCATCGTCGGATTATATGCTTCTCTGAATCATTGGACATTCGAGAATTTTCGATTGAATCCAACCATAGCAATTTTTTATCATCAATGTCAGCATAAAAAAGAAGCCAATGTTTATTTAAACAAATTGGCAGAAACAACTGCATTGACAGACAAAAAAAAATGTTACAATGCTTCTTACTGGATTATGTTATAATATGCATTATAAACTAGAACAACTAATTACCCTATAGAAAAAAAAAAAACATTACCTTGCTCACGCCTTTAAAGTCCTCTTTTTTAACCCGACTTAACACTTCATCTTCAGTCCTTGATCCCTTAATCAGGAAATCCTGAATTCATCATATATAGTTGAGAAGTTATTCTCATGCCAACTAACGTGTATATGGAACTTAATTAAGATTTTGAATAAATTTAGGTACTCACAGCAATACAAGAATCGAATGAATGGTGCTTTATGTACTCATGTGGGAATTTCTCATATCTTCTTTTAAGCAAAACGAAAAACTGATTCACAACCTTCAAATATGGGCAAGGCAGATGCAATAACGGCATTAATTCAAGCAATTTTTTAAAGAAAAAAAATGAAAAAGAAGTACTATTATGAAAGGATACTTACAGTATCCTTAATATAGTAATTTGGTGCATTCGTAGAATCAACATCATGTGGAGGAATCCTAAGCAAAGGTACTAACGCACTAAGCGGTATCTTATCTTGTCCAACAGATTCTCTTTAAAACAAATACAACAAATTTCATTATTATTATGATGATTATGACCCCTTAATTAAGCCATATGATCATGACTGAGACTGAGATGATGTATCATACATACCCACTTATTGCATGAGTTTGCCATTTGCTCAAATGTTCTCTTTCTTTCTCCGTGAAAGGAAACCTCAAATATGCCTCAACATCCTACAAAAGTCGAAACAATTTTGAAAACCCCTAAATAATAAATCAATTCTGAAAATACGAAATTTTTTTAGGCATATATATGAGATGTTAGAAATATAGTACTAGCCTAAGCTTTTAGGTTGAGTTTTCCTCATATAGCTTTACAAAATGTGAAGGGAATTATTGAATGTAACCTTTTCTGTCCATATTGTTGTACCCTTCTTGCAACTTTTCATCACAAAAGTCTCTTTCTCCTCCATCTTCCTTTTAGCCTATCAAATGAAAATGTATAAAAGAAACTCAATTTTTCAGAATTCAAGGCTATAATGTAGCAAAACACATTCAATTGATCAATTATACCATATGCACATACCCTGTTCTGCATTGGTGCAAGATTTACTCTGTCATCTGATGACAATAAGTTAAAAAGAACGTCATGTTGCAATGATGCAGAATACAAGTTCAACAAGATAGCACAACTATAGCTGTTGAGTGAGTTAGAAGCTTCATCTTGCCGAATTTACTCACAGTTTTAATACCTCTTTAAAAGTGTATTGGTCTTCTAAGTTTCCTGTTTGCATCAATATATAGCTTGGTTCCATGTTAACTAAAACTGCAGAGTTTTGACTCACATCTATAAAGGGGTTTTTCAATAATAGAACTTATTTCCATATTACTTTACTTTATTATTTATTTTCTATAGGAGATAAGATGATAATAAGAACTTAATTCAGTAGTACCTTCTTTAGGAGATTCTAACCAATCCCTGCCGCATATCATCGCCTCTATGATCTGAGGATCTAATCCACTGAATATTGGATTGTCCATGAAAATCTTTTCATTGAAAGTGGAACTTGATATAATAGATGACACAGGTATTGCTAAGATATCACGAACCATCCTCGCAAGAATAGGAAAGTGTGAAGCTTGTTCACACCACCAACCAAGTATGTCAAAGTCTGGATTGGAAGAAATAATTATAGGTTGAGAAAGATAATTATCAAGTTCTGACATCGATGAGGCTTCAGTATTCCTTTTGGAATTGCACCACCTATGGAAAGATTCCATTGTATTTTCTTCAGCATTCAACAATGTCGATGAATTAGTATCATCGAGGAATAGTGTCCCACTAGATATATTACTTGCATATTCATAAAAAATATCAGTAAGAGTATTACGAATCATTTTCAAATGAATTTTGGCTGCTTCATCGCCATAGATTGCATTGTAGGAGAACTCCACAAAATTAAATTTAAATTGCGGGTCAAGAACAACTGCAATTGCCAAAATCAAGCTACATGTCCAACACTTGTTGTCAAATTTCACATTCATTAATGGATATCCTCTTCCATCCCGTTGACTCAATTTCTTGTAGATGCCAAAAATGTCCCGCAAACATGCATTTGAAGTTCTAATGCCACCATCAATAGATTTTTCAACATTCTTCTCACCTGAGTTATCCTTACCAAGAAGACCAAAACTACATTCATCACTACTGATGAAAAATGAGCTTGAAGGATATGAAGCTACAAAACACTGCCAGCTCTTTCTTATTTCTTCAGCTATCTTGAAACATGAAGAAGAAGTATGTATGGTTAAGGAACAAACTTTCTTGCCAAACTTCCAATACTCAAAGAACTTTTTGAAATTTTCAATGAAAGTCCTTTGGTTAAATTGATTCCCTAAATTTTCTAAAGCAAGAATTTTCTTCTTTAATTCCCAATTGTCATCAATAAATTGTACAGTATAACAACAATAAGCAGTCTTTTCAAGATCATGTACCCACAAACTAATTGTCAAATTAAAGCGACATGAGAGCTTATCAAAATTTTGAACGAGCTTACGTTTTTCCTCTTGGTAGACATGGATTATGTTAGATGATAGAGCTTCTTGTGATTGAAGTTTGAACATTGGTTGCAAATTTTTCAAAAAAATACTGAAAAATTCATACTCAACCATATTCAATGGGCACTGATGCTTAATAATCATTCTTGCAACATCCATGCTACTCTTATCTTGATCAAATGAAGAATTACCTTCGCTAGCACTTTCATTTTTTGAATCACCTCTCCCAACTTTGGTTGCTCTTTCTTTACATCTTTTCAAGTGATTTCTTAGGTGGGTAGTTCCTTTCTTGCTTGAACCATCAAACTTTCTATCACAATATACACATATAGCAAGTTCTTTCCCATCCCCATCTTTCTTATTGATAAATTCTTCCCAAACATCAGATGTCAACTTTTTTCGTTTGGCACTTGAGATCAGTAAGTTATTTACATCTGCTTTTACCATCTCATTCTCATTTTTTGCAAGTGGTTCAAATGACGTTTGTTTTCCATTTCCCTAACATAAGCAAAAATCCATAGAAAAAAATAAATTATTTACGGTCAGTCATTTTTAAATAGTTAGCTTTTCATTTTTTAGAACAAATAGATTCATTTGTAGTTAACAAAATATTTATAATTAGTACAACATTTCTATGGAAAAATTAAGAATAGTTAATACAATTGTAACCTTAAATAAAGTGATAAGGGAACAACAGATTACCTGCTCAAGAGGCACTCCCCCTGTTCCAGCTGGCGATGAAGCATGCATAGGTAGTGGTGGGTGCAAATTTGGAATCACTCCCATCTAAAAGCAGATGTTATTATCACACGTGAATGCTAATTTATGAATGACCTTAGAATAATATAAGTATCAGATATTGTAAATACAATTAAGATTGAATGTTACCGGCTCATTAAACTCTTGTATTTCCATTACATGATCATCCCTTGTGTTTGAGTCTAGCAAATCATAGGTAGATGAAGCAGGTAGAGGTTTCTCATAGGCACTGTCACCTGCGAAAAGTTTGAAATAGCTTCTTCTGGAAACCCAACTTTAGTGTCCCGAACCGTTACTTGTACAAACCTTTTCTTCATATTTTTCAAGTCATTGAAGATACGAAGTGCCAAGGATTTTACTTTTTCAGACTCTGTTTCAGATGCAGGCCAAAAGAATTCTACTACATAAACATCATCAGTGGTATATCGGTTCTCTAGACAGATTGCAACAACAGCTTGATCGTTAATACGAGACTCTCCAGAATATGGAAAGTCAGATTTCTTAAAACATGGTTCAAAATGGAAGTGCTCACTTGATTGAAGTGCTTTCCCAGCAATAGCTTCCCCTTCTATAAATTGAAGTCTTTCACAATGTCCAATAACCGTTTCAGACCAGAAACATTGCCCATAACAACAAGTACTTTGGATGAATAAAGCACGTCTCTTGTATAGAATTTTATTCACATTAGTCCCACAAGCCCATGTTAATGCCAATGAAAGCTTATATTCTAAACATACCTCTTCTAACATATCATATATCTCAGCCAAAGCAGCCATTTGATTTAAATTGATTCCCTGTGTTAATATAGATAATAATGAATTACAACAAAAAGAAAAAATAAAAAATAACACATTTGAAAAGACAAACGCAATACACCCTTAAATTAACACTTTTTGTAAGGATGACAATGCATAGGATATCCACTAATTTTAAGATACTCATATCCAAATTCAATTATCAAATATAATATCCATACTGAACCCATTTGGTAATACCCTATTAAAATCTGATTCCATTTATTTAGTTAAAAATATATCGGTATCTATTAAAGAACCTAACCCATTCCAAATTCAATAATAAAATAAAATAGAATTATTTTATATGTTTTGTTAATAAAATTAAATTAATAAATTTAAAAATGTATTTTATAATTAGATAATTTAAAAATTTTACTAAATAATTTGTAAATATTAAAAAATTCATGATTTATAATTGAATTCGAATAACAGATGCCCTAAACTTACCACATGCATCCTACTCAAATCCTTTACAAAATACTCTAATAATACTTAATCAGATCGAATAGCATTGGATATCCGCTTATACCCTATCCATAGCCATCTTTAACTTTTTGGCCATTTTGTATGCAACTTCTAAGAGTGACAATATATAATAGTGCAACTTCAAATTGGAGCTTTTTGTTAAAGTCTTCCCTTTTTCATTTTAATACCATGGTACTTAATGTCTCTAACTACAAGGCTTGAAGTTTAATAATTTTACCTAAATTTTCAGTCCCAACAACATGTACTTTAATATTCAGGCGGCCCCTATTATGCTTTTGTAAAATTCTATGTTTGTTTTGGTACTTAAAAAACTATTATTCCAAAAAAAAAAACTAAAATAAAACTTTTGGCATGCTTTGAAGCAACCAATAAATATATATTATAAATTTTGACATCGTAATTTTACTTTGATTAAAAAAATAATCAAAAGTTATTAGTAAAAATTATTATTTTGAAGATCATTCTCTTATTTTCTTACAAAATAATTTTTTCACCGTTAAATTTTGATAATTTTTTTTATCAAATTAAAAGCATAATGTTATAATTGCACTAATCCAAAGATGAATGATAAATTGATTATTTTAGTGAAGATAAAACAGTATATATTTAGACCTTAACTCATTAAAAAAATACAAACTATTGATAACTTTTTAAAGTTAAAACCAAAGTAAAAATTAAAAAAGGCTAATATGCAATTTATACTCTTGAACTATATTACGTTTACAGCTTTATATTTAAAAAGAAAAATCACAATTTGAGATCTTAATTTTGTTTTTGTCAAACACTTTTTAATATTGACGAATGGTATTAATTAAAAAGATGATGTGGCAAATATAATTGCCACTGAAAATGTGTTGTGTTATGATCTTATTTGTTATTTTATTAATATATTAGCATATTATTAATAGAGCTAGTATTTAAGGGCAAAAATGTATGACGATGAAAATTGAGATACTAAATTGTAAATTTTTATAGGTACTAAATCATGAAAAATAATATAATTTAAGAATCAAATTGCATATTAGTCCAAGTAAAAATTTTAGTTTTGTATTGTTTAGGAGACTTGAAAAAGATAACTAAAAGAAAGAAAAATTAATACCTCTAGAAAAGGTTGTAGAGGTTGTACTTTACTTTCCATTAGAGGAGTTGGATTGAAACCTATAAGAAAATTGATAAAAATATCATCATTAATGAATATAATCATAAATCTAAATAATAATAAATTAAGAAAATAATTGATGATATATGTAGATTCTTTATCATAAAATTAAGGGTCAACGATCCATTTTATCATTTTTTTAGTTTATTGATCAAATTTTATCAATCAATCATCTTTGAACTGATTGATAAATTTTTAACACAACACTTTTTATTTAACCCCAAATTAGTCAAAATATATACCAATAAAATATTTCATTGTCATACTAGTGAAAGAATGAAATATTTTTTAGTTTTTTAAAAATTAAAAAACTGAAAAATAAAAAATAAACAAAACTAGAAAAAAAAAAAAAGAAAAGCAAAGGAGAGAAAGAATAAAGAAAGTATAGGAATGGAAAGGGAAATTGCTTAGTCTTGTCGTCAAGCGTTAATCTAAAGCCAATTGACCAAATTTTGGATGTATGAAAAGGCAATGAAGAAAGAAAAAAGCAAATGGATTGTAAAAGGAGAGAAAGTGGGAAAAGAGAGAACTTATAGATCTAGCTAGATCTAGTGATTTAAAATACGATACGATAACAAGATATGAATACGATACAAAAAAAGATGTGAGGTGACCTAATTTAAAATTTTATCCATAACTATATATGAGTTTAACAAAAACAAAAAAATGTATTTTATATTTTTGTGTCGACACAAATTATGACACGTAATTTTTATGTAAAACATAATACAAATACACGAATTTCAATATTTTACACAACAAAATATATGAATTATCATATCTAGATCTAGTATGGCGAGATGGAAATGAGAAGAGTAAAATGGTTTGGTTATCTACGCTAATTTGCTTTGATTATGCTTAGAAAGTGAGGTAAATATTTTAAGCCTAAGGAGCATTTAGTTCAAGGATTTTTAGATATTGGAAGGTAAATGATTCTGCTGAAAAATGATAGTTAAAGGGAATAGATGATTCATGTATTTTGTTGATCTTAAGAAATATAAGATTTTTATATAATTTGCGAAATCTAAGATTACCTAATGAATTCTTTTACTATATTGTTTTTGATGACACATATATAACATGTGACATTTATATAATCATTTATTTAATATTTTTATAATATATTTATTTAACATATGAATAACTTATAGAAATAATAATGAAAAAAAAAGCATTAATCTCAAACATGGATGTGACATGATTAAAGAAGCTATAATCATCACAATATATTTCTCAAGATTATTCATGTATCATAATGCATGTATTTCTCAAAATTTAATACCAAATCAAAATGCATAATTTTAAAACTTAGTCATGCAGTAAATCATAGTTGCGAACTATGATCACAAATATGTTTAACAATATAATTCATTTTCTCCTTTCTAATTCCAAGATTTATAAAACATTAAACATATGCATAATTACACCAAGCAACTATGAAATATTCTAAAATATTTTTTAGAACATTTATCTATCAAAGTCATAATTAATGACTAACAAGAGAAAACCACTTATGAATTCATATGCTAAATTTACTTAACAATTTATCACCTGTTTTATACTATCAACTATAATTTTCAAATTAATGAACATGTATTATGCTAATCATCATAAATATGCATAAACAATTTATTGATCTTCAAACAATGTCATTTTACAATTTATCAAATACTTTACACTATCAATTATCAATGAATGCGTTAATCATAAACAATGTCACATAATACTTTAATGACATCATTGTTAAGTATATTTCATCAATAAATTTCTAATATAATTGTATTCAAATGAAGTGTATAATCAATGTCAATGTTTTTTGTGTTCATTCTCACACCAATTCATCTAGTTGTGATTTCTCACATAATTCTCGTTAGGTTGTTTTTCAACCTTTCCTTTGATTTTACTTGTGCATGATCCTTTGATCAAATACCAAGTCACAATAAAATGAAAAAAAAATCAAATAATAAGTCTTCAAAACATATCCATCATTGGAATGAACTTCAATCAAATATATTTAAACACAATCATGCAATCAATCAATCATCTCAATATAATCATTATGCTAAAGTCACATAGCAAATTTTCATCATAGTTAAAACATTATAAGAATATATAAAATGTCCAAATAAATTTCAATACCTCTAATTATTAGCAAACATATTTAGAAGTTTTATTCAAAGAAGAATAAACATCGTCATTGACTTTGGTATTTTTGATCAAGAGATATATCACTTTAGTATTTCTGTCAACCATTTTGTATTGAGTTCATATTTTTGTTAAACTCAATAGTTGTCACAACTCCTTAAAAATGAAAGAATACCTTTTGATAACATTTCAGCATTGTACAAATGTTCACACCAAAAATTAAAATGTTACTCTTAAGATAATAAATTGCAATGATTAGGCAACTTGTTGCTTTTTTGTATTTTATTTCCAAAACTTAGTTTTCACAATAAATATTCTAAGTAATCAATTTTCATAGTTGATTACTTCTTTTAAAAATATCTCATGAGTAATATTTTGGTCATGAAACTCTTTCTTTCACTTCCCTTGATCATATACCAACATATAAACTAACACTCAAATCAATCAATGACTACTAAATAAAAAAAAAAATCAATCAATAACAACCAACTATATTCTTTTTGACAACCTTTAGCCCATGATCTTAAACGAAAATGTTTAAGCCATTAATCATGCAATTAAACATATCACCATATAAATTAATTGTAATAAGTAAATTACTAACCTTAATGTACAGGAACATTAAACTCTTTAGGACACTTACCATTTGCTTTTTTATTTTTTAACCATACTTACTTTTGTTGAATTCAAGATTTGTTGAACAAATTCGAATAAAATGATTCTATGTCATAGTCAAAATAAAACATGGGGGAAAACCAATTTTAATCTTCCACAATCATTTCCACAATAAGTTAGAGAGTTATTGAAAAAATAACTTTATGATTTTTGGTTCAACACCAAGAACATTCTTAATAGCCTTCCATAAAATATTCTCCATTTCATGATCATGAACTTGAACATAATGTTGCCATTGAAGGAGATTTATTATCCTTAAATTGTTGTATATTGGGTATAGTTATAGCAACATAATCAATAAAGTATGCAAAAAATACAGAATTAGAGAAGAAAAAATTGATATTTGGGCAAGACATTTCCAAGAAATTTTCTTAAAGATAATAGTCTCCCTACTGCAATGCAAATGGATTCTTGGAGACGTTATACCCAAGAAAAAATGCCTAAAGTTGAAGAAGAAAATGATTGCACTTCATGTTTTTCTTGAACTCATGTGAACCATGAACCCAAAGAAAAAAAAAAGAGCATAGGAAGATAAAACTGTTTTGGATCTTTAAGAATGAAAAGATGTAAGGTTGTTAAAATTGTGTTTAGAGGAATATTTTTGACCTCATAAGGTGTTTCAAACCACCTTCCTAAAAGCATCATTCAAATGAATTGATGCAACTTTTGGAATGAAAGAATTCCAACATGCTTATATTTAGTCTTAAAGTGTAGATATTCGAATGCCAAACATGGGATATTCGGATGTTTGCTTTCCAAAATGTGGGTATTCAAATACCCAACTAGGGTATTCAAATGCCTACTCTTTAACTTTCAAATTGTCATTTTAAAATATAGCATTCAATTTCCCTTTACTTATTTCATTCCAAACGTTATTGTATACTTTTAAAATACAATTTTATCAACAAATGCATTCTACATTATTTAGAAACAATCATTTTACCTAAAAACATTGTTCTTTGGTAATATATAAAACAAAAAAAAGAAAAAAAAAGAAAAAAAAGTCAACTTCATACCAACCATATTAGTGATCTTTTTATATTTTTAAAATAAATATTTCATGAACTTTTTTTTTGTTAATGTTTGATTGATATAAATTATGTAAATTACACTCGTTCATAAATTCATGGTAAATTTTGATGACAGATTAAATAGTGATAAATTTGATCTTTAATCATTAATTTAAATTTCATTATATTGAAGCTTTGGGGGTTTTTAAGTATATATTTTCTAGTTGATTTATTCAAGAAAATTTCACTAATCAAGGAATAATTTTAATTATGTTTTTTTCCTCTTATTATTTTTGCCCATCTTTTCTTTTTTGTAAATATTTTAAAAATTATATTGAAAATGTTTTAACACTTAATAGTCTTTTTAAATATTTTAAATTTATTTTTCATGAATTTTTATCTTTTCACATTAAAAACTTGGAACAGTTATTTATAAAGAATAAAACTTTCATATAAATAGCATTAAAATTAAAGTTTGGTTTTTTAATTTATTTTAATCAAGGAGATACCATATAAATAGAGGGAGCATTATATTATCATATTAATTAAATTAATGGAATGGAAGAAATCAATAAATGAAACTTCATCAATTGTTATAACATTGGAGAAAAATTAAAGTTATTAAATTAAAAAAAAGGTATGACGTGAATTGTTTTTTCCCCAAAACATTTCATTGTTTTTAGTAATTTATATGATTATTATTATTACGTAAAAATAATTAAAAACTAATTCATAAATGTATTTTATAAAAATATTTAGATTAAATTCATATATTGGCGGCATTATGTTTGGTTGTTAGATTTTTGTGTTAGGTTAATGAGCATTATATTTTTTATTAAATTATTTAATCAAATTATTATTTATTTAATTTATTGAATTATAATCTTTTTTAGTGAGAACGTCTAAAACAAAGAAAAAAATAATAAAAGTATAACAATTATAAATTTTAATGAAATGATTTTGATTTTGATTTTTTTTTAATTTTAAATTTTCTATTTTATGTAGTTTTATGTTTCTATTGGGAATTATTGGTTTTTTAGATTTTTAGTTTTATTTTATTACAAGTAATGGGGAATAACAAATTATGTTTTTTAAATCTTTCTTTTGGCTTCCCTTTCTTTTCTGTTCTTTCTTTCATTTCTCCTTTTTTTTCTCTTATTCTCCTGCCCAAAGCATAAAGAATATGAGATAATAAATGGATTCGCTTTAAAAAAAATAGCATAAACTACCGCAACTAAAAGTTTCTGTTAAATTGTGTATATTTCATCATCTTTTATACTCATACCCTCTCAAAATAATTGTCCCTTATTGACTTTTTTTTATCAAACTAACTTAACTTTGACCTTCATTTTTTTAAAGTATTATATTAAATTAATAGTATGTTTTGAAATTTTTGAAATTCAAAGTTTACAAATCTTATTTTTAAAAGCTTTTTGATTTTATAATTTTATTAAACATAATGATCAAATTTGATTTAATTTTAAAAAAAAAGTTAATAAAGAATAATAATTTCAAAACAAAGGGAATAATAAATTTTAACAATTCATTAACATATAGAAAGCCCAACACATTATTGTACAAAACATATTCATCTATCAAACTCGAGCCCATACAAAATGCAACCCAAATTTTTTCAACCCAATTAAAGTCTACAATTGCATCATACAATAGTTACTCGCTAAATGTCAATAAATAGAAGGTCAATTGAAAGTGAAAAATGTAAATAATGTAAGGGATTATTGATATTAACTATAGACAATTAGAGTTATTATTATTTTTTGAACAGATTTAGAGTCATTATTATTGATTATTGATATGAACTATAGATAATTATAACTTAAAAAAGAAAAACATATAGACAATTGGCTAGAGAGGAGTGTTAATTTTACTAATTTTATTTTTTAAAACATGTCGAGAATAATTTAAAATAGAAAAATACCTTGAACAAAACTATTGCCGATTGGATTGAGTTTCCATGCCGATATGAAATACATAGGGCGATTCCCCTGGATCCTAACCAAACATCCATTGTCCTCACGATAGCCAGCACCAAGCCTCCTACTCTGGTCCAGCTTGAGTGGAAATAGAAAAAGGCCATTTGTTTCCAAGTGGGATCGCCACTGATCCAAAGTATGGTGTCGCACAATTCTATCCCTACCTTCGCATCCCACTATATTATGTATATGTCGCCTTAAACAATTTTCTTCTTTATAGTCTAGAAATGGACGAAAAACATGAGAGTAATGTTGAAAAGAGTCCTCAAAGCGTCTAATGAAATCGGAGTGATTATGATTAGCAGCATACTCTTTTATTATCACAAGGTCCGGGTTTATATTCCTCAACTTTAACAACTCTCTCTCCAATATTCCAGCCTCTCTCAGCAACATAGAGAGTTTAAAGAAATAGAAGACGACCACAGCCTCATCCTCTGTTCTTCTGAAATCCAACATAGACTCACCCACTTCTTCCAAACTATTAGCGTAAACAACTTCAAACTTCTCCAACTTAAATTTATATTGCGCGACCGCCTCAGTGATATAATCCTTTTCTTCTTGGACATTTACAAATTTTTTCAGAGACGGTGGTAATATGACACTTACACGGACTGATATGAGATCGTCAAAAGCATCGGTTAGTAAATCAAACAAGCCTTTAGTGTAATTGAGATGTGGTATGCGGAAATCAATGAGGTGCACTCGCTTCTTTCCCATCACGGTGTTGTTTATGGCATCTCCAATATACTCATTAGCAATACCATCCCAATACTGTAAATACAATGGAGGAGTCATCTGCAATTTGAAATAGGCAAAGTCAGGATGGAGTCCGTACGCTCGGCGAACTAGAGCTTCTGCAAAGTATTTCACAACCGTGCTTTGTTGTTCGTCGGGTTCGTCGGGTTCAAGAGTCCAGATCTGCTTAAGCAGTGAATCGACAAGTTTCAGATCCCCATCTTCAACAGCTCGAGCGCAGTCTAGTAAGACCGGAAAAGCAGAAGAGGCCATCACTGTAGGCAAATACTAGTAGAAATTTGGGGTTGAAGGATGTAGTTACCGATGAACTTGAGAATACAAGTAGGTGACGAAATTATTCCAGCGAAAGCAATAGCGCGTGATTCATTGTTTGTGGTGGTCCCCAGTCCGCACACCGCACGCGGTGTTGACTGACCAATAATTAAAGCCAAAGCATCCCATTCCCACCCACTGTCTGAACATCGAATCTTTTTTTTTATTTTGCCTTTTTGGTTCATCTAAGTAACCTACCCTTCCTAGAAATTGCTACAAGGATTACCGCTACCATCATTTTTTCATTGACCATATTTTTTCTAATCAAAATATGAGTCATATTTTGTTTTGTTTCTGTACAAAATTTTCAATATAACCGTTTACAGTCAGTGGAAATTTGAATTTTATATTTCTACTTTCTAAATTCCACCGGTTTTCGTTATTTGATTCTAGTTTTAATGAATTTTTTTTTTGCATTTTTATTAAAAAAATGAAATTATTTAAAAATAATTGATAAAGATTTCGATCTTCAATTTGAACAATGTGATATTTTAATAATGATAGAACAAGTTAAGGCGGGATAACTTTGTGTTTGCATCAAATATATTAATCTAACAAATTTATATTTTTAATTAAATAATAGTAAAATTATTTGTTAGTATTTTTTTATTAAAATATAATTGTAGTTGTAGATGTCTCTATTTTTTTAATAAAATATGTGAATTTTCATAACTATGATTCATGAATGATCGAAGAAAAATTTAAGACTCGTCTGAAGATGTTTTTATTTTTATTTTTTATGTTTTTAATTTTACATTTTTAAAAATTAAAAATAAAATTATGTTTGATAGGTTTTTTGAAATAAAAATTAAAAATAAAATTTTAAAAATTGTTGAAAGTGAAAAAAACATGTTTTCAATATATTGAAAATATTTTCATCACATTTACTATGCGCGTGAACAATAATTGCGCATGAACAATATCAATTTTAATGCAAAAAAATTTAAAAAAAAATCATCAAAACTGCCATTTCTTAGAGCCAAACCACTACCACTTTCACAGCCCATGCCCATAATTACTTCTTTACGTGGTCCCTTGCTTTTTAGTATTTATAACAAAATGCTAATTCTTTTATGTGTTTTCAACTTTAGTTAAATAAAAATAAAATAAAATATTTAAAAATATATAACATAAAACATAAAATTGACAACAACTCCTTAATTACTCCGAATTTTGGTCCGACAGGCAATCTATCCTGTTTTTAATGTGAATTTGGATTGGTCAACCAAAACAAAAGAAAAAATTATGCACAGTTCATAAAGTGTTTTCTTGAGTTAAATATAAAAAAATGATTTTAATAAAAATTAAATAATTATCTAAATTCTTAATATTTTATTACATTCAACTAAATTTTTAAAATTTATTTTCATGTAATTAAATCATTAAATATTTATTTTCATCTACTTAAAATTTTAAATATTTATTTTTATCTAATTAAATGTTTTATTGAAAAAAAATTGACGATTAAGTAATTTTGCCTAATAAAGACTTAATTAATTAATTATAATAAAATGATAGCAACTTAAAAATTATTTAATTTTAGTTAAAATTTTTTGTATATTTACGTCTTTTTTTCCTTTCAATAGTCATAAGTCCCTAAATGGCTGTCCTTTTCAAGTCATTCCCACTTTAGTGTTGTATGAAAAATTAAAAACTATAAATTAAGTCCATCGGATCTTTGGAAATCTTTACTATAGCTTACATTAATTTTCATTTTTTCAAACCAATAAGATAGTCTGTAAAGTTGTAAACTGATTTCATCCTATGATAGTATATTTTACTTGTTCCTAGTTCGGTTATCTGATAACATTTAATAAACTTTGTATTTTATTTTTTATAAAAAATTATAAATATTAAAATTTAAATTTAAATTCCTTACTATATACTATCTTTTTAAAATAATTATGTTAATTAATTAAATTAAAATTCAGATTTTATTTTTAGATAAATTTGAAAACCAACCTAAAAGTATCCGACATCCAACATTATTTTCTTATTTTTTTTCTTTTTTTCTTGTTTCTTGTTCTAATTTCTTTTTAATTTTTAATACACCTACTTATAAATAACCAATCAAAATTTCAATTTTAGTCACGCCCTTCTCTTTTCCATATAGTAGTATATTTTGATACACAACAAATTAAAATTAATGGGCATTCATCCACAGATTACAAATAATGCCCAAGAGCAACCTCCTCCGTCATCATCGCTGCCGCCACCACCTCCTCCCATGGGCCCAAAGGCACAGATAACCGTTGAAATTGTTGCTCAACAGAATTTGCAATGTCAAAGTGTAATCCTAACATATTGCTTTACATCATCCATTTAAAGAGATAGAAGACGACCACAGCCTCATCCTCTGTTCTTCTGAAATCCAACATAGACGCATCCACTTCTTCCAAATTATTAGCGTAAACCACTTCCAACTTCTCCAACTTTACACCATGTTGCTTGGCCTGCTCAGTGACCTATTGCTGTTCTTCTTGGACATTTACAAATTTTTTCAGGGACCGTTGTAATATGACACTTACACGGACTGATACGAGATTGGCTCGACACGGACTAATATGACATCCATACAGATGTGGTATGCGGAAATCAATGAGGTGCACTCGCTTCTTTCCCATCACGGCTTTCTTACAGAAAATCTAATGGATGACCCATCTGCAATTTGAAATTGTCTGAGTCAAGATGGAGCCCGTACGCTCGGCGAACTAGAGCTTCCGCAAAGTATTTCACAACTTTGCTTTGTTGTTCGTTGGGTTTGTAAGCAGCAAGAGTCCAGATCTGCTCAAGTAGTGAATCGGCAAGTTTCAGATCCCTATCTTCAATAGCTCGAGCGCAGTCTACAAGACTTCCAAGCAGAGAGACTCATCACTGTAGGCAAATACTGGTAGAAATTTGGGGTTGAAAGAGGATGTCGTACCGATAAACTTGAGATACAAAAGTCCAGCGAAAAGCAAGTAGCGGCGTGATTTTGGTTTATGGTGGTCCCAGTCCACACCGCCGGGGTTTTGACAGGACCAATGAATTAAAGCCAAACATGAGCCCTCTTTCTCCACTTTGCTTTGTTTTTGGTTCATCGAAAGTAAACCTCCCTTCGCTAGAAATTGCCTACAACAACTACTACTTTCTTTTTTTCCTGACCATAAATTTTCATCAAAATATGAATCACATTTTGTTTTTGTTTCTGCACAAATTTTCAAAAATAACGGTTTACTTCCACTGGAAATGTTGAATTTTATGTTTCTTACTTTCCTCAATTCCACCGATTTTCGTTATTGGATTCTCAATTTTAATGAAATTTTTTTCTTCGGCATTGTTTATTAAAAAACGACATAATTATAAAAATAATTGATAACAGATTTTTATCTTAATTGATGATGTTGGTATTTTAATAATGATAGAAACTATACAGGGTGCATTAATTTCTTGTTGCATCAAAATATTAATTTAACAAACTTATTATTTTAATTAAATAATAAAAATGTTTGTTTGTACTTTTTAATTAAAATATAGTTATAGATGTCAATTTTTTTATAACATTGTGAAATTTTTTAACTCTGATTCATTAAGGACAAAAGAAAAGTTTTAATTGCTCCATTTTTGGTCCAACAGCAATCCATTCTGTTTTTAACATGAATTTGGATTGGTGAACCAAAACAAAGAAAAAATTATGCATTATCCCAAAAGTTTTTCTTGGGTTAAATACAAAAAAAAAAGTCTTTTAACAAAATTAAATAATTATTTAAGTTTTTATTATTTTATACATTTAATTAAATTATTAAATATTTATTTTAATCTAATTAAAATTTCAATTGAAAAGAAAATGACGCTTAAGTAATTTTGAATAATAAAAATTCAATTAATAAAAATAAAATTTGAGAATTTAATTAATTATAATAGTTTGAAAAGATAATTTAATTTTAATTACTAAAACTCGTTTTTTTTTTATATTTATGGCTTTTCTTTCTTTCTATAGCCATAAGACCCCTAAATTGTCGTGCTTTTCAAGTCATGCTCACGTTTGTGTTGTATGAAAAATGAAAAATTACTTTTTTTGGAAAAATAAATTTGGGTTAAGGGGGTTGTTTAGTCCTTAAGTCAAGATAAAATATATCGTATTTTAACAGTTTAAAATATAAAATTGTAAGTTATACATTCAAGATGATTTTAACAAATGATCATTGATAAAATTCAAATTCAAAATTTTTTATTACAAACCTTAACCAATTAAGTTCATTGGATCTTTAAATGAAAAACATTTAATAAGTTTTGTATTTTTTATAAAAACTTTATAATTTGAGAATAAAAAAATTAAAAAAATTAAAATTTAAACTCCTTACTTAATATTATCTTTTTTAAATAATTATATTAACTAATTAAATTAAAATACGGATTTTATTTTTAAAAATCTTTGAAAAACTAATTTAAAAGCATTCGACATCCATATTGTTTCTTTTCTTCTCTTTTTTTTTTTGTTTCTTAGTCTAATTTTTTAATTTTTAATACATCTACTTATAAATAGTCAACCAAAACTCCAATTTTAGTCACGCTCTTCTCTGTTCCACATAGTAGGATACTTTGATACACAACAAATTAAAATTAATGGACATTCATCCACAGATTATAAATGATGCCCAAGAGTAACCTCCTCCATCATCACCGCCATGGCCTCCACCTCCTTCCATGGGCCTAGAGGCACAGATAGCCGCCGCAATTGTTGCTCAACAGAATTTGCAATACTAACATTTTGCTTTACATCATCCATTGAGATAGTTTTCCAGTTTGCAAAATCGCAATCCAAACTCTCTCCATCCCTCAAGTTAGTCCTTTTTCAAACTTATTCACATTTTGCTTTTTGTTGCAACATTCATCAATCGGAGGTTTGGCAAGATATCCAAATTGTTGGAGAAAGTAGCAATCATCCTTGCAGCAGTAACATTCATTTTCAGTACCATTGCTGTCCCTCTCCATTAATCAATTTATTATCTTTTGCGATTCACAAGTAGTACCATATAGTAACAGCATCAAGTTTAGTCTTATTGCAACATGCTTGCCAATGCCAACCGCCATATGATCTAACGATTGGGTTTAATCTACGACAGTTCAAGTAAAACAAATAAAGTCTTAATAACTTACTATAATGTATATTTTATTTCACCATTCAAATGAACAGCATGTTTGTTATGTCTAAAGATTGATATTCAATTAAAAAATAGGGAGAATATTGATTGCATAGATCAATATATAACAGGAAAGGAGCTTCTATTTAATACACTCTTAGTGAGATTTTTTAATTCTAAAATTAATAAACTAACATATATCTTATTTGTTAACATAAGTTGGGAGGCATAGATAAAAAAAAACAATATATATAATAAACTTTTAAATTATGTAACAATTTAGTCTAGATTTGTGTAGAAAAAAATATATCAAAAAATCGACAAAACATATTCAAATTGCATTGTTCGATTCATTATTTTTGAATCGAAAAGTATTGACTTGAATAGATACTAATTTATGATAAATTTATAAATTATAAGTTATGATATTATTGATTATTTAAACGAAGAGTATTAATTAATATATTAATCAAAGTTTAAAATTGTTAAGATTAATTTCTTTTCTATTAAAATATAATTCCCGTCTCTTTCACTTAATGGTTAACTTAGTAGGATATAAAAGTTTTGGTTTCTCTTCTTCTCTGTTTTCTCAAATCTTTACATTGAATTTTAAATTCCTTTGATTAATTCAACTAAACTTAATCAATTGAAAACTATCAAACCCAAAATTTATATATGATTTTGACGTGAAATTATTGTCTTTGTTTGGAAATTAATAATAAAGAAAGAGGGGCTGAATGGTGGTTGAAAAAAAGACAAGAAAAATGAGGTTTTGTTTGGCTGTAAGATTATTCCCTTATCATTCTTTATTTAAATCTGAGTTAAATGAGAATCAAATGATTGGGCTTTCTGTTGAATAGAAATTTAATTCCTTTGTATTGTATAGTTTTTTATTGAATGAAAACTTAAATACAATCACAAAATTCAAATAGAAATTAAATTATTTAGTTAAAATATTTAAAAACAAAACTTATGTATTTATTATGAACTAGGCTTTTTGTGATTATGATCAAGACACAACAAAAGATTTTTTGAACCAAATTGACTAAAGTAAAATACAATCTGATTTTGGGAAGAATCCATTTCTGTGGCATATTGATAAAGTACATACATAACAACTATATATGCACTAGCTCTACTAGAATCATGGATGAATGTTTCCACACAAGAATTTTCAAATCACTATAACAAACAAGGAAAGGAAACATAGAGTCCATGTAGCAAATTTTAGGTTCAACGGAAAAGCAAATGTAATGGCATGGCAAAATGCAGCTGCGGCTAGGAGCAGAGCAACTTTTTCTAACATTATGGAAGTTCTGGCATGTTTTTGGCAGATAAAAAATGCAACCAAGTGAAGGGCAAATGTAAGCAAGACAGCAAATGAAAGCAACGCAAAGGAAGAAGGGAACTCCTTTGGTTCGTCAGTTTGTGAACACTGGAGGGAGATTCCAAGCGCAAAAGTAAAGCAAAATGTCGAGTTTTGCCTGGCATCCTTTCCAGATTCCAATCAAGATGAAAAATAAAAATAAATCAAGGGTAAGTACAATCATCCTTATTGCCTTCCCACCTCCTTATGCTTTTCTGGCCTGCTCAAAGAAAGATGGAGATTAGGCAGGGCTGGGATTAGAATTCTGAACACAAGCCTGCCCATAACACGATGATAAAATATTTATTTAAGTAAAAAAATTAAGATTTTGAGTAAAGGGTTGGGTCTAATATTTAGATAAATTATTTATTCGCCATAGAAAATTGTAGAAAATAGATAAGGGGATCTAATAAACAAATTACAATTGGACTTACTTCATTTTGATGTTTCCAACATGTTCCGACTGCACACCGAAGCTTCCATGCTCTCTGCTTCTTCACCAGCAGACTCAGAAGCGAAGCATTGTAACTCCAACCAATTGTCTAAAGATGGATCACCATCTGGTATTTCAACAGGTCAGTTTCAAGTTAGATAAATAATAATAACAATAATAATAAGTATCATAAACTACCATTTATGTCGAAATCTTTGGCATTGTCTTCAGTACTCTTAGTTTGTGCAGAATTCCAATCTTTCGAAATTTTAACCAAAGAAGAACTGTCTTTCTCGTCCATCTTCCTTTTACTTTTAGCCTATGAAATTAAAATGCATAAAGGTAACTCAAGTCTTCCGAAATTCCTGGCTATAGTATGGGTAAAACATTTAATCCAGATCACCTTTTATCATATGCGCTTACCTTATTTTGCAGTGGTGCATGATTTGCTCTGTCATCTGAGACAGCAAATGATCTCAGGTAAGTGATAAAGAGTATGTAACTCCAAACAAATTAAATCATCTAGCTAAGGACATTCAAAGCTTACTCTTTGAGCAAAGTATCATACATCAATCAACCAAATGCGATAATAACAAAGTTAAGCCATGTGGTTTAAATGCATCCTACTTACTCAAGGTTTATTGTTATTACTATTATTATTATTATTATTATTATTATTATTATTATTATTTTGATTAGGGATGCCAATAGATAGAGTATGAAATAGTTAGGACATTATCATCCCATTCTCATCTATGATTTTTTATATTAATTCTATCTTTGTATCTGAATCAATATTTCAAATTTATTACATCACTATTCTTGCGAGAATTTAATAAGTATAAATAATCTTCATAACTTATTAAAAAATAAAAAATTATTTTAAATTTTTTATCTTGCACATTTATTTTAATTTTTTATAAATAAAAATATTTTAGATCTAATTAGTTTAAAATAAAAAAAATTTATAAGATTAAATAAAAAATCTAATTTTTTGCTGCAAAAGAGTGGTCAAACCACTTAAATTCTAGAGGTTCTAGATCTTGCTACTCCTAGGATATCTTCCCCTTTAAGAGGGTTGGCCAAAACATAATGAGTACAATCCTCACTATAGCCCAGCTGGCCATTTAATCAACACAAAAAATTCATCTCTAAAGAGATGAATAATCTTAAAAAAAAAAAATCTATCTATTATATATATTTATATAAATATTTAGGATACGAATACAAGGTGATTGCTATATTATTCATCCCTATATTCTATAAAAATTTTTAAACTATACTCATTTTTTTACTTATCTCAAAATTTAATATCTATTCCTATCTTTACATGATAAAAAATCAGATTTCGCATAAGGTATGAGTAAAATTGATATCTTTAAGTTTGATAAATACTCTAAAGTGTTTCAAACAAGTAACATTCAAATCAATGAGATTTATTAACTCACTTTGTAAATTTTGTTGACAATTAAATTAAACTTTTTTTTTGGGATTAATCAAACTTAATTTGTATTTGTAATGTTTTTACTACATCGACAGGATTAAAAGATTAAGATATGTCTCATTAAATTGTATTTTAAAAAATTAACCATCAAATTAAACATATGTCCCATTAAAGTGTCAATCCTTAAGCAAGAGTTAATAACCTTGGCTCCTTCCCAAACATATACTTCCACAGTATAGATCAAGAAACGTCCGATGTCGGAAGTGAAGCGTGTCATCTTGAGTGAAAGGAAAATAATTGCCATGTGTGAGGCAATCTGCGTATTTCATCACAAATAGCGCACAATCCACAGAGCTGCATCGCCAAAGAAAAGATTGAAAGTTTATGTAATTAACAATTGAGTGATGAATCTTTATAAACCATAAAATGAAAACCACATGCTTCATTTTCATTAATTCTCTCAAATTAGGAGTGAATACTTTCTTACTTCTTTTGCAAAGGAATATCTTTTGGGACATCAAACGACCAATCCTTATGATCATGTCCCAAAGATGGCAATAAAAACTCTGAAAACCACCGCAAGATTACTTTCTTCTCTGAAACATTTGACATTCGAGAATGTTCGTCTGAATCAAACCATAGCAATTTTTTATCATCAATGTCAACATAAAAAAGAAGCCAATGTTCATGTAAACAAATTGGCAGAAACAACTGCATTGACAGACAAAAAAAATGTTACAATTCTTCTTACTAGAATATGTTATAAAATCGTATTAGAAAGTAGAACGACTAATTATCCCATAGAAAAAAAATTACCTTGCTCACGCCTTTAAAGTCCTTTTTTTTAAACCAACTTAAGACTTCATCTTCAGTCCTTGATCCCTTAATCAAGTAAGTCTGAATTCATAATTTATAGTTGAAAAGTTATTCTCATGCCAACTAACGTGTATATATAACTACTTAATTAAGATTTTGAATAAATTAAGGTACTCACAGCAATACAAGAATCGAATGAATAGTGCTTCATGTACTTATGTGGGAATTTCTCATATCTTCTTTTAAGTAAAACGAAAAACTGATTCACAACCTTCAAATATGGACAAGGCAGATGCAATAAAGGCATTAATTCAAGCAATTTTTTTCTAAGAAAAAAATGAAAAATTAAGTATTATTTTGGAAGGATACTTACGGTATCTGCAATATAGTAATTTTGTGCATTCTCATAATCAACTTCATGTGGAGTAATCATAAGCAAAGGTGCTAACGCACTAAGCGGTATCTTATCTTGTCCAACAGATTCTCTTTAAAACAAATACAACAAATTTCATTATTATTATGATGATTATGACCCCTTAATTAAGCCATATGATCATATGACTGAGACTGAGATGATGTATCATACATACCTACTTATTGCATGAGTTTGCCATTTTCTCAAATGTTCTAATTCTTTATTTGTGAAAGGAGACACCAAAAATGCCCGAACATCCTACAAAAGTCCAAATAATTCTGAAAAACATTTAATAATAAATAAATTCTGAAAATATGAAATCTCTTTAGGCATATATATGAGATGTTAGAAATATAGTACTAGCCCAAGATTTTAGGTTGAGTTTTCCTCGTATAGGTTTGCAAAACATGAAGGGAATTATTGAGTGTAACCTTTTCTGTCCATGTTGTTGTCCCCTTCTTGCAACTTTTCACTGCATAAGTCTCTTTCTCCTCCATCTTCCTTTTAGCCTATCAAATGAAAATGCATAAAAGAAATTCAATTTTCCAGAATTCAAGGTTTAATGTAGCCAAACGCATTAAATTGATCAATTATACCATATGCACATACCCTGTTCTGCATTGGTGCAAGATTTACTCTGTCATCTGCGACAATAAGTTAACGAGAACGTCATGTTGCAATGATGCAGAAACCAAGTTCAACAAGATAGCACAACTATAGCTGTTGAGTGAGTTAGAAGCTTCATCTTGCCTAATTTATTCAAAGTTTTAATACCTCTTTAAAAGTGTATTGGTCTTCCAAGTTTTCAGTTTGTATCAATATATAGCTTGGTTCCATCTTAACTAAAACTGCAGAGTTTTGACCCACATCTATAAAGGGGTTTTTCAATGATAGAACTTATTTCCATATTACTCTACTTTATTATTTATTTTCTATAGGAGATAAGATGATAATAAGAACTTAATTCAATATTACCTTCTTTAGGAGATTCTAACCAATCCCTGCCGCATATCATCGCCTCTATGATCTGAGGATCTAATCCACTAAATATTGGATCGTCCATCAAAACTTTTTCGTTCAAAGGGGAACCTGATATAATAGGTGACACAGGTATTGCTAAGATATCACGAACCATCCTCGCAAGAGTAGGAAAGTGAGAAGCTTGTTCACACCACCAACCAAGTATGTCAAACTCTGGATTGGAAGAAACAATTAGAGGTTGAGAAAGATACTTATCAAGTTCTGACATCAATGAGGCTTCAGTATTCCTTTTGGAATTACACCACCTATGGAAAGATTCCATTGTATTTTCTTCAGCATTCAACAATGTCGCTGAATTAGTATCATCGAAGAACAGTGTCCCACTAGACATATTACTTGCATATTCATCGAAAATATCAGTGAGAGTATTATGAATCATTCCCAAGTGAATCTTGGCTTCATCATTGCCATAGATTGCATTGTAGGAGAACTCCACAAAATTAAATTTAAACTGCGGATCAAGAATATGTGCAATTGCCAAAACCAAGCTACATGTCCAACACTTGTTATCAGATTTCACATTCATCAATGGATATCCTCTTCCATCCCGTTGACTCAGTTTCTTGTAAATGCTAAAAATGTCCCGCAAACATGCATTTGAAGTTCTAATGGCACCATCAATAGATTTTTCAACATTCTTCTCACTTGAAGTATCCTTACCAAGGAGACCAAAAACACATTCATTACTACTGATGAAAAATGTGCTTGAAGGATGTGAAGCCACAAAACACTGCCAGCTCTTTCTTATTTCTTCAGCTATCTTGAAACATGAAAAGGAATTATGTATGGTTAAGGAACAAACTTTCTTGTCAAAATTCCAATCCACAAGGAACTTTTTGAAATTTTCAACGAAAGTCATTTTTTCAAATTGATTCCCTAAACTTTTTAAAGTAAGAATTTTCTTCTTCAATTCCCAATTGTCATCAATAAATTGTACAGCATAACAATAATACACATTCCTTTCAAGATCATGTGCCCACAAACTAATTATCAAATTAAAGCGACATGATAGCTTATCAAAATATTGAAGGAGTTTATGCTTTTCCTCTTTCTAGACACGAATTATGTCTGATGATAGAGCATCTTGTGATTGAAGTTTGAACATTGGCTGCAAATTTTTCAAAAGAATGCTGAAAAATTCATGCTCAACTATATTCAATGGGTACTGATGCTTAATAATCATTCTTGTAACATCCACGCTACTCCTATCTTGATCAAATGAAAAATTACCTTTATTAGCACTTTCATTTTTTAAATCATCTTTCCCAATTTTGACTGCTCTTTCTTTACATCTTTTCAAGTGATTTCTTAAGTGAGTAGTTCCTTTCTTGCTTGAACCATCAAAATTTTTATCACAGTGTATACATATAGCGAGTACTTTCCCATCCCTTTCTTTCTTCTTGCTAAATTCTTCCCAGACATCAGATGTCAACTTTTTTCTTTTAGCACTTGAGATTACTAAGTTATTTACATTTGGTTTTATCATCTCATTCTCATTATTTGCAATTAGCCCAAAAGAAGTTTGTTTCTCACTTTCCCAACATAATAAGCAAACAAGAGTACAAATCCATATTTAGAAAAGAAAAAAAAAACAAATTATTTACAGTCACTATTATTTTTAAACAGTTAGCTTTTCATGTTTTAGAACAATAAGGTTGATTTGTAGGTAAAAAAATGAATAACTAAAGTGTAAAAAGGGTAATTAATATAACATTTTTATGGAAAAATTAAGGCAATTAATATAACTGTAACCTTGAATATAGTGATAAAGGAACAATAGATTACCCGTTCATGAGGCCGTGGTGTTTCCAATACTACTCCATCTGTTCCAGCTGTTGTTGAAGCATGCATAGGTAATGGTGGGTGGAAATTTGGAATCTCTCCCCCCTAAAAGCAAATATTATTATCATTAGACCCTAGGCCTAGAATAATATAAGTATCAGATCATGTAAATACAATTAAGATTGGTACCTGCTCATTAAGCCCTTGTATTTCCATTACATGACCACCCCTTGTGTTTGAGTATATAAAATCATTGGTAGATGAAGCTGGTGGAGGATTTATCATAGGCATTGTCAGCTGCGGAATGTTCGAAATAGCTTCTTCCAGAAACCCAACTTCAGTGTCCTGAACCCTTACTTTCACAAACCTTTTCTTCATATTTTTCAAGTTATTGAAGATACGAAGTGCCAAGGATTTTGCTTTCCCAGGCTCTGTTTCAGATGGGGGCCACAAGAATGCTACTACATAAGCATCATCAGTGGTATAACGGTTTTGTAAACAGATTGCAGCAGCAGCATAATCGCGAAGACAAAACGATTCAACACCATTTGGATGATCAAGTTTTATAAACTCAAAAATATTTGGCTCAACAAGAAAGTGCTCACTTGATTGAAGTGCTTTCCCAGCAAACCCTTCTAAAAGTTGAAGTCGTTCATTTCTTCTAATAAACGATGGATCCACGTATTCATCAATATAACAAAAAGTACTTTGGAAGAATAGAGTACGTTTCTTGTATGGATCTAACCTAATTTCATTCATATTAGCCTGACAAGTCCATGTTAAACCCAATTCAAGCTCATATTCAGAACATAGCTCTTGCAACATGTCATATATCTCAACCAAAGCAGCCAATGGATTTAATTTGAAACCCTGTGTTAATATAGATAATAATGAATTACAACAAAGAATAAAAAATCCAAAATAACACATTTAAGAAAAAAAGCAATACACAAATAAAGTATCCGCTAATTTTGAGATACACTAAACCCATTTAGTAATACCCTATTAAAATATAATTCCATTTATTTAGTTAAGAATCTACTAGTACCTTATTAAAAGAACCTAAAACAATTTGAATTCAATAATAAAATAAAATATAATTATTTTATATGTTTTATTAATAAAATTGAATAAATAAATTTAAAAATATATTTTATATTTAGATAATTTAAACATTTTACTAAATGATTTGTATATATTAAAAAATTCATTATTTATAATTAGATTTGGATAGCAAATACCCTCAGCTCATTATATGTATCCTACTCAAACCTTTTATAAAATACTCTAATCCTACTTAATTAGATTGGATAATGCCGAATATCCTTTTATACCATAAGCATTGCCATCTTTAACATTTTGACCATTTTGTATGCAACTTGTAAGTCAATATATATTGACAATATATAATAGTGCAAATTCAAATTGGAACTTTTTGTTAAAGTCTTCCCTTTTTCATAAATACCATGGAACTTAATATCTGTAACTACACGACTTGAAGTTAAATATTTTTGCCTAAATTTTCAGTCCTAACAATATTTACTTTAATAGTCAGGCGGCCCCTATTATGCTTTTGTAAAATTCTATGTTTTCTTTGGTACTTTAAAAACTATTCTTTCAAAAAAATGCTATAAGAAAACTTTTGACATCATAATTTTAATTTAATTAAAAATAAAATAGTAAAAATTATTATTTTGAAGATCATTGTTTTGTTTTCTTCCAAAATATTTTTTTCACTGTTAAATTTTGATAATTTTTTTTATTAAATTAAAAGCATATTGTTATAATTGCATTGATCCACGAATGAATGATAAATTTGATTCTTTTAGCGAAGATAAAGTGGTATATATTTAGACCTTAACTCCTTAAAAAATATACAAACTATTGATAACATTTTAAAGTTAAAACCAAAGTAAAAATGAAAAAAAAGATTAATATGCAATTTATACTCTTGAACTATATTACTTTTACTGTCATAACGTCTAGATCCAGGAATCTATTGCTAGATATTGATTTAAGGAGTCGCCACCAATCTTTTTTATTTAGGTGCGATTGGCCACATAAGGAATCTATCCTTTCAGGGAACACCTAAGTTTAAGGGTCCCTAAAAGAGTAGGTTCAGGTCTACTAACCAAAACAGAGTTTAGGAGTTCGGTTACGTGTGAGAAAGGTTATAGCACCCTCACAACGCCCATCAAAAGATGGTACCAGCTTAACTTTGTGTTATCCAATAAGCCTTAAAAATTTATCAAGTAATTAATTATTAGAAATTATTCTCAATTTACTCTAATACTTTTAGCAAAAAATTGAGAAAATTCCCTTACCTCAAGAGTATACAAGAAAACTACTGTTTCACTTATAGAGGCTCCGTCGTCGGATTATTTAACATTAAAAAAATTCAAGAAAATAAAAAGGAAGAAAAAAAATGATTTCTTTTGTACAGAAAAAATTGATACTTTAAACTTTTTTTCAAAATATTTTTTTTGAAAACTTTAATTTCGAGGAAAATTGATACTTTCAACTTTTCCTCAAAAACTCATTTTTTAAAACTTATTTTTAAGAAAAATTGATACTTTCAACTTTTCCCCAAAAATATTTTTTGAAACTTTTAATTTCGAAAAAAATTGATACTTTCAACTTTTTCTCAAAAATTCACTTTTGAAAACTTGTTTCTAAGGAAAATTGATACTTTCAACTTTTCCTCAAAAATTTATTTTTGAAAACTTATTTTTAAGGAGAATTGATACTTTCAACTTTTTTTCAAAAATATTTTTTAGAAAGCTTATTTTCAAAGAAAATTGATACTTTTAACTTTTTCTTCAAAAATATTTTTTAGAAAGCTTATTAATTGATACTTTCAACTTTTCTTCAAAAATATTTTTTAGAAAGCTTATTTTCAAGAACAATTGATACTTTCAACTTTTCTTCAAAAATGTTTTTTAGAAAATTTATTTTTAAGAAAAATTGATACTTTCAACTTTTCTTCAAAAATATTTTTTTTGAATTTTATTTAAAATAATAAAATAATAAAATAAAATAAAAATGAAAGTAAAAATAAAGAAAAATAAGAATAAAATAAAAAAATAAAAAAATATATTAAACAAATCTAATCTAATAATAATAAAAAAATAAAAAAATGAAAAAAAATTGAGAACGGCTCGGCTCAGCTTGAGGAAGAAAAATGGCTCGGAGACGTTGCTCGGGGTGTCGGCTTAGCTTGGCTCGGCTAACAGCTCGGAGATAGGAGTTGCATGAGGGTCGAAAGTGGGTTGACGCTCGGGTCGGGTCAAATTTTGGCAAAATACACAGATCTTCTAGGTTTACTAACACCAAAACGACGTCGTTTTCATTAGGTATAAAAGGTTAATCTCAATTTTTTTCTCCTCCCTTCTCTCACTCTTCCCTTTTTTTCCTCTCCCATCTCTCTAAACCACGAAGAACTCCTGTTGAATTCTCGTCGGATTCTGAAAATTTTTGTCGAAATCTAAGTTTTTCGTCGGATATTCACCAGAAAACTGATCGATTTCTGGAAAAGTCATCGAAAACTGAGAAGTTGATCAAAAAATTCAAACTTGACCGAAAAAGTTGTCGAAAAATTCAAACGTTACCGAAAAATTCAACTAGAATCTGAAAATTTTCTAGAAATTTCCAAAAAAAATTTTGTAAAAAAATTCTTCAAAAATTCTCCACCAATTCCTAGAACTATTTTAACCCACAAAAACCCTTTTTTAGCTTCCCGTTCTTCTCTATGTCTGCGTTTTTCTGTGTGTCCTCTTCTGTTCTTCCAGCACCTATTTATAGGGATTGATCAGAAGAGTTTCTGATCACTCTCAACTCTTTTTGGGATTTGGATTCAATCTTTGAATCCAATCCCAACTCTACCAATTCCCAAATCACAGCCAAATTTATTCCAATTTTTTTATCCTAATCTTAACCGAAAATTAATAAAAAAAAAGATAAATATATTAATAGATAAAAAAATAATTAGATAAATAAAATAAATAGATAAATAATATAATAAAAAAATAAAAGCAGATAAATAATAAAAATATTA